CTCAGCCAGGGTCAACCCACCACACACAGTTGCAGCATTTCACTGGCTTCATTCCTTTTTGCTGTAATTGATGACATACCAACCCATTCCAATGAGTCTCTTCACAGACAATCATAGCATTTTTGTACTCACAGTACAGTTTCCCTTGGCTTTGTGAGCTGAACTGTCCAAACCAGCATGAAAAAACATGATTTCTCTCTCCTGATTTTATTTTTAAAAAAAGTGGGGATAGTTGCAGCTCAGAATTGCCATTCAGTCACAGCTGCAAGCATACCGGAGGTATTACACCAAGCCAGGTGGTGTAATTCGGAGCAGCCTCATAACTCTTTCAGCAAACCCAAGCCTGGTAGAATCCATACAGGTATCAAATGGCAGGAATTACCACCACCTTTAAATACAATTTCGTAGTAAAATTATGTAAGACTAAAATGACAAATGCTTGTAGTTAAGGACAAAATTCCATATTGAGGTGTAATAAATTATAAAGACAGTTAAATAAATTCACTAGAAAGAGAAATTAGAGCCTTAAGATACATTTATAATTAAATATGTCCATTTAAATTTTTATCTCAGTTTGACCACACACTCGTAATTTGTGAAGCTGTATGTTCTGATGTCAAAAAAAATTTAATGGGAATTGTGAACCTAATAGCTTTACAATAAGAAAATCTATATCCCAGTTACAAAAACAAATTGATTGATAAATCTGCCTGGCAGATCTGCTGGGATTCAGGGGAGATCCCTAAAGAGATGAGCATTTCAGACTGATAATGACTGTCTACTTCCAGTGTCTTTGATAAAATCTATTGTACAGGTGAGTAAAGAAGGAAGCACATGCTTGCATTGAATAAATAGTTAATGTGAGAGTCAGCCCCTCACTTGTGGTCTTGTGGGCCTTCCCCCCTCTGGGTAGTACTAAGTAGCAGAAGAAATGTCATTCACAGAATCATAGGATGGTTTGGGTTGGAAGGGACCTTAAAGACCATCTAGTTCCACACCCCCTGCCATGGGCAGGGACTCCCTCCACTTAAACCAGGTTGCCCAAAGCCCCATCCAACCTGGCCTTGAACACTTCCAAGGAGGGGTCATCTGCAACTTCTCTGGGCAACCCTTTCCAGTGCCTTATCACCCTCATAGAGTAGAATTATTGTATCCAATTAAATTGCTTATGTTAGTGAAAGCACTTGATAATGTTAATTTAAAAATTACCTAGAGAGCTAGACCAGTACAGGCATCTAGTCCTAAGACCTAAGAACTTAGACTAGACACGTGACTACCGCCCACCTGCTTTTTCCCTTACCACATTCTCAAAATTATTCCTTAATCTCCTGTTACAGTAATCCAAACCGATTTGGTCCGCAAGACCTAATGAGGATGTTCCTCCTCTCCCATGTTTCTGTTGCCACATACAGCTGTTGCTGACCAACAGTGACAAACTGGCAAATCTCAGAAAGACGGCTGATAGTGGCAGAGTGTATCCAAACTGTAATGAACTTGATTGACATTATGGGACATGAGAGATATGAAAAAGAACCAAACTATCACAGAAAGATAAAGCCCCCACATTGCACATAGATGCCCGCGTTTTATGTTTATACAGTACGCTTGTATGCCAGTCCTTATTTTGTCTGCAAGCTTTTATCTATGCTCTTTGTTAAAGCAATTTAGTTATCTTCAGCTAGTGTTTTATAGCAATAGTCTGACATGAAGGCTTGTTAATCAGACATCATTTTGTAAATAAGAAAAGTAGATGCTATATATGGAATAAATGATAAGGATATATAGAATAAATGATAAGGAATTGTGAATTACAAGCCTATCTTGATATTTGGGTTGGGGTTTTTTTGTGATCTTATGAACCATGGTAGTGAGTTTTAAATGGATTATGAAGTAACCAGAACTCTGCAATAGCATTACACTCTTATTGTTAAAAGTGAGGTTTCAAAAAAAGCACACTTGGCAGGACACTACATTTAAATTAGATACTGTTTATTCCAGCTTCCTACTTCCCTCTCTTTTCTCATTTAACCTCCCTTGTCATTCATTGCTGTATGTGAATACAAGTGACTATGAAGTAACTTAATGTAGTAAAGGAGCATATATAAAACAATAAGTAATAAATCAATAGCTGAATGAGGTACCAATACAGGTAAATTTTTTAGTATATTCACATTATAATCAGAAATACATTATTTATGATGTTTGTGTAATGAATACAGATTTTTAGATAGGACAAAAACTGCCTTTGTAGCTCTTCAGTATTGAGGATGATACAGCTAACGTTTATTCACAGTGATTAAAAGGAACAGTAGTGAGACAATCTCTTAAGAAATAAGGATAGATCTGACTTAGGTCCAAACCTGTAATGACCTTGGGACGAACCTGTGGTCTGGAGCCTCTACTAGATAGCCAAATACTCCCTTTGTGCTTGTAAAACTCTTTTAAAAAAACATGTAAGTAAGCCTTACAAAGCTATAGGAATTTAGTGATTGAGCGTAGCGACTGCATTCTATTTTAATGGTAAATATTGTAAAGAGATTACTAACCTGATCTGAAGCCACGTGAGCATTGGTGTTGTGCCCCCACCAAATACCCAGACTGTGAAAAACACAATAAGCAGTGCTGTTGTAAACATCATTTGTTTGGGTTGGGATTCTGTGTCTTGAATAGCCAATGCAAATGCTATCGCACCACGTAAACCTGGAAAAAAAAACAGAAAAGACAAGAATGATGGAGAAATAGAATTTTACTCTTTTCAGCCCAAATCCAATTCCAAGGGCAGAGGAAATTTTCAGACCATGATCATACTTCTAAAATGCTGGACTGTGCTAATTGAAAGGATGGTGCTTAATGCGAGCCTAAGCAACTTCGCAAAAGTGGACAATGAAACTCCTCTCTTTCACATAATAATCAGGTATTTGGTTTACATCCACTGAATTCTTTGTCTTGAATAATTGCAAATTAACTAGTAATCTGGACTTCATGCATGTCAAAATAGAAATTTATTCCCTCTGTTTTACTGACTTCAGTAGGACTAGTCATGAAATCAGGTGCAAGTGAGAAAGAGGATTGGCCTTAAAATCTGCACCCAAATAGGCTACCCATTTCTTGCTTGAAAAAATGTCTTTAAAATATCTTTAAAATCTTACAGTGTGCTAAGAATGGTCATAAAAATTATGATTTAAAAATAATTAATAGTTTTTAAAAGATGATTTTAAGTATCTAAATAGGGGATACAGAATAAATGCAAATTTTTAGTTCTTAGTGTACTTGACATATTATAATAGTTGTAAAATTATACACCTACAGAGACTGAGTAAACAAAAACTTACAAATGTGGAGAAAACAGCCAACAGTGAGTTAAAAAAAGCCCCATAGGTAGTATAAGCTAATTAAATAGGTCCTCACAGTGTGACATTTTTAAAAGAAAAGAGGGGGAAAAAAGCCCACTAGTGCCTCCAGGCATCAGAATGCACAATAAAAATAATACCCTGTATTTTCCAATGCTTTTCATTTATCTATTTAAATTTACTTCCTTGTTTTCTAGAAAAAAAATTCCACAAAATAAGTGTAGAGAGCGAAGCCACTACATGTATACAACACCCACTGAATCCAAAAAGTACTTTGCAAGTATTGAAAGATTAAATCTAATAATTAAACCTCTTGTAAGGCACTGAAGGTATATACAGAATCATTTAATCAACTGCTAAAAAGCAGCTATTTTTGGAGTAGAACTCTAAAGCTCTTTAAGATTACATAGGTAGAATGTGAATTATGTACTATGGAAGATGGACAGTTTATGCAGAGAACAACACAAAGCCATTTCTGCAAGGAAGTACCAGACTGTAGTTGCACCAGCTGAAAATGGTCAGTGGCAGCGGGTTTAAAATCTCTGCATTTATGAAAATAACATTGCAGTCAACAAGTGGGCTTGTCCTTGACTTTGCTTTTACATAAAAGACATCTCTAAGGATGCACATACTTTACTATTTTCTCATGAGGAGAAAAATATCACTCATTTAAAACATGTATCCGAGAAGGGAATGAACCACTGTTTAAATGGTATTTTTTCAGTGGTTATAGGGGTAATATAGATTACTAGCCCAGATAGTAACTGTGACTGCCGTCACTGCATTTTTCATTTATAAAGGGCTCAACATGGTCTATAAGAGCTAATTGAGTTTCAATTAAAAACATGTCTAAAGTAAAATAAATAATCAAACAAGTGAGTTGCTTCCAACTAAAGCAGTGGGAAGCAGATGAATATAACCTAAAATGTAAAGACTCAATGAGAAGCAAGGAACACTGATACATATCAAAATACATTCCAGGTAACAACACAAATGGAGGGAATTTTAACAACCTCTGAAGACAGTAAGATACTAAAATAGACTGAAGGTAAGGAAGGTTAGGGTTTCTGTAACACCTCAGGGAAAAATACCAACAAAACACAATGGAACAGTTGGCACTAATGGACATTGGTACCTCAGCTACGCCTGGAGAGAGTCACATGGTAGAAGGAAAATGCTCTGATGAACCATTAGCAGAGATTCCTTCCTCTCATCTTTCAGAGATGCCACTGTGACAGCAGCTCCATATCTGTGCTGGGATCCATTGATCCTTTGGGCTCTATCACAGATTTCCTACCAGATTTTTCAGCTAGCTGTGCCAGCCATTAGGGATTCATCTTTAAGAGAGATTCTTTCATGTGTCAGGGCCTCCAAAGGAAACCACCCCAAGGGTTAAGCTTCGGAGTCCCACAGAATAGAAAAGGTGCATCCTATTGGGCTGTTTTCCATCCTCTTCTCACACTCCACAAACACATGTCACTTCAAACGTGGCCCTCTGAAGAGCCTTTGAGGGCAGTAGCATTTGTGGGTAGTGTGGGGAGAATCTGCCAGGAAAGGAGACTTTCTGTACGTAGGTGTTTTGGTTTCAACTGTAGTTCTCTGCTCTTGTCTTCCTTGCTTCCTTTTTTCTTTAGCTGATTTCCTATCTATCTTCTTGGAAAAGTTCACTGTGACACTTCCCACCACCTTGTATGTATGACTGTGCAGATGTAAATGCCTGCATAACAGCTGCCTGAACACAGGCAGTCTTTTTTTTGTTTTTCTTTTGCATTTGTATTCCACCCTTTCAGACTCCACTGCTGCTGTAATATCTTATATTAACAGCAACCACCCTACAGCACTGTGTCCCACAAGCCTCTCTCTTGCTGATTTATATGCTGTAGAGAAGAGGAAAGCACAATAAAAAGTAAATAGAGATATTGGAAGAAGATGGTGCAGTACTGTACCTGTGAAATAGTCCCCTCCTGGTCATGTGGCAGTGATGCCCAAATATCAGATATGTTATTGCCATTAATAAGTCCATCTGGATCCATTTAGTTTCCTTCCCTTTTAATTTTCTTACCAGTTAAAGGCATCACAGCAGGGTCTGAACTGAGGCATTGTTCATGCAGCACAGACCACTAGTGTATAGTGATAGCTCCCTTACAATTTAAGACATTAAAATATTTTTTTTTCCCATGAGCAGAGACTGCTGGCCTGCTCATTTTCACTGACATTGAACTTAATTTGAGAAGCTCAGGCTTAATTATACAAGGACTAATCTAGTTTTGATTTACAATGGAATATTATCAGGAATCATGATTAAACATAGTTGTATAAGTGAATCCACCCTCTGTAATGTGTTGTTAGAGGAGTGGCAGAAGCAGATGAAGAATGCAATAAATCAAAATGCTGTATAATCCACTTCCAAGCCCTAACTCTTCCACTTTTTTCAAATGTATTAATACTCCTCAAAAAGTAGAACTTAATGACTACATTAGAATTTTTTGCAGAGTAAGGTATACTCAAATGCTAATCGACCATGTACTTGCCTGACCTTAATTGTTTTTTCCAGACTTTAATATTCATGGTGATTATGGCAGTAAAACTCAGTAAAGAAAGCAGTAAATGTTTGGTGCATTCAGTAACGATAAGATGGCAAACAAAACTAACGCCATGTTCATCGTCTTCTGCATCTGAGTGTGTGATGCTGTGGTGAGCGAAGCCCAGTTTTCACCGTGATTGACTAGAACCTGATTCTATACCAGTATATTGCTGCTGATCTTGTGTAGGCAATAAGCATCTTCCTCCAAACTCAAATTCAATGTCTTGTTTACTCATATCAGAAATGTGTGTCTCTTCTGGCAGTCATTGCCTTCTCTGTTTATCACTATATACAGTAGGATCAGTTTATAGTAAATAAGAATGTTATTGATAACTGAGCACAAATCTTAGTGCATATTAAAAAGTACAATTACACAAAAAATCCACATATCCTAAGTGTTCTCTGAAGTGTGAAGCTGCTGGCTGTGCGAGAGGCAGTCAGTCTTTATTGCTCTACTTGCAGATGATGCTATTTACTTTTTTATAATGGTGTAAAGATATTTTTCTCTACAATATACAGTGTTTCTTTGAAAACAGTTAAAAATTACTTTTCTGAGTATTTTAACATTTTAGAAGTTTTCAATACTATTATTTTCAGTTCTCAGCTGTCAGATTGTGCTGGAAAGCTAATGTGTGAGTTCTCATGTTTGGTTGTTGGCTGCAGGCTACTTTCTGCTGCTAGTTCTGTGCAGAATGAAATTTGACTGGAGAAAATGAGGACAGAAAAGTTGAAGAATAAGATACATTTTAGAAGATTTTTAATTCTATACTTTATCTGATGAAAAACAAAAGTAAAAAAAAAAGGAAACTAGATAACTAATGATATGAAGCTATTTTTCATGCTGTTGCCTAGTTGGCCACCTGCTAGCTTCACTGGAGGGATCTACATATACATCTTACATGGCTAACAATTGTAGGTGAGCGGCAGTCTGAAAGGCAGTTCCTAACGGACGTATGTCATCATCTCTCGCTATAATCTAGCTGGTATTAACTGACATTTACAGTGGCAGCTTTTAGCAGAAGGATTGAATGGATATAGAAATGAACTACTATGTTGCTCTCTAGAGAGATGGAATTATAAAGGCATAAATGAGGCACCCTGATGTGGAGTACTCCTGATGAGGAAGCTTGAAATGTGGTGCATTGTATTTTACTTGTTATCTGGCTAAATAGATCAGGGTACATTAAGGCTGTCAATCAAGAACTTTTATCTATAAAAATTTGGAATAGGTTTTTGTCTAAAAAGCAAGAAAATGAAGAAAAAAGTGCTGAGTTTCTAATTTTAGAAAATTATTTCATAAATGGCATTGGGGGATCTGTGTTTCTGTCTTTTACTGAACAAATGTTCTTAGGTTATGAGTTTTTTTCTAGCTAGCATCAGAAAGTCAAGTGGCGGTATTTCTAGCTTGTGCAAGTCCAAAAATACAGAATCCACAGTACAGGGGATGATGCACAAATCAGAGTAGAACGTGGCTCCTCTCTTCTGTTTTGTGGGTGGGGTTTGCTTGTTTGTTTGTTTTTTTAATTCTACAATGTTAACCAGAGTTAACAGAGTTAAATATCAGGCTGGAATACATATGAAAAGGTCTGTGGAATTAGTCTGCTAGCCTCATGTTTCAAAGTAAAACTGTTCCTGAAGTTAAAGGAATTGCCAAAGACTGTGTCCGATTTGAGTATCAGTACTACCACTTTTGAAGTTGGATATTTATTTGCTGGTACGTAAGCATACTCTTGGGTATATTACAGGTGCCTCTAAAACAACACAACATGAAAACATGGTATTGCCAAATTGTCATGAAACGTAGACAGATGAGGGACAATGGGTTGAAAGACTGGCTTCCTGAGTGGTAGGTGGCCAAAAAGTTAATTAAAATAGGTCCAGAACACTGTAAAGTTGATGAGAATACATCCATTTGCTTTGGTAGCTTTGAAGAGACTATCTTGAGTTTTAAGATAATGACCTCTTTGTGATAGATGACTATCTTTGTCAGTTGTTAAATGTGGACAGGAAAAATACCAAAATAGCACTTACCTGAAAACATCATCATGTGCTGAAAATTCCTGGGAATCTTTTGTTTTCGACCCAAATTTAGCAGGAAAGAAAGTGGATATATGTTGCAAGCTCTTGCTACAAAAACTGCCACCTAAAATTTAAGATGTTGAGGAAAATGGTGGAGGAACTACTGACAAAAACAGGGTTAACTTAAATCCAATATTTCTCCAAAGTTATTTTAGAAGTGTAATTAAAATGAATATGAGATTATCTTCTTTCATATTTTACATATCAGATCCTTCTGGTTCCAATTTCATTATAAAACTGTGCAGTGGCAGAGATTGTCTTCCCCAGACATCCTGGTTTTATATTCATCATTATATATCCCACTTCAATCACTCTACTTTTACTCATCACATTTGTATCACATGTGACTTCATCTTCAGTCCTTCAGTAAAATGCCCATCATCAATTGCAGAGATGGCATTATCTTCTTGAGCAGCAATTTGCAAAGAATAAATGTGCTTTTGGACATGATTACTTTCTTATTTCCTGACAATTCATATTGTCTATATCCAGCATTCTGTGGTTTGTTTTTTTCTCCTTGTTTTTCTTTGGAGATTTTTCAGAAGGGGTTCTTTATTACTCCTCTGTGGAATGATCACAAAAGTTGGCTTAATTAGAAACACGAGGCTATTTCAGATTAAGAAAAAGACAATCAGAGCTCCTTATACATGCCTTTAGCAAGTTCCGTCCTCCCCCTTGTCTTGTGACTCTTAGGGCTCAATTATGGCACTCTTGGTCTGAGACATGGTGTGGACTGTAGGATAAATGAAGTACTCGAGTGGCAATGTCTGGCTGTATCGTATCTGCTGGGCCAAGAGCTGCTTAAAGCTCTCGTGGACCTGGGGAGAACATGCATCAGCAGTGGTTGCTTCACATGCCCTGTGCTCAGCTGTCCAGTGCAACCCTGTTGCAGACTGTTGGCTCTCAGTGGGCGGAAGCGATAGAGCCAGGTCACTGCAGCGCTCTGCAGCACTGAGTGGGGTCCGGAGTGCTGCTCCCACGTCCAGCTGTCTTCCTGTGCTAAGGAGTGCAGGCCCCAGTACAGCACTTGCCTCCTTGTGGTGGTGGGATGCAATAGGCTCTCGGGGTCCTCTGCTGTCTAACCCAACCTGTAGCCAAGGGAGCTGTGATGCAGTTCTTTTTATTCATTTGGAAATTGCATATAAAAATTACTGCTAGTAAACAGAATGATCCCAACTTTCAAAGCTATTACAGTTCATCAAAAAGTGATAAGCAAAGGGCTGCTGCTCTGAGCAAAAAAAAAAAAAAAAAAAATCATTGCGTGAATTGTCAGTGTGAAAAGAATCGATACCACTGTACAGGTAAGCAACAGATTTGTTGAGAAACCATGGCAGAATTAAAGACGCAGACTCTTTTTCTTACCAGTCTCTTAGGCACATGATGATGAAAATAATTCCATGTGCACTAGAGATATCAAATGCAAAGAAGGAAGGATTTCAGCAATGCAGAACTGTTTGCTTTTAAAGAACTTATCATTTAAGCGGGTTTGGGGAAGTTCTACTTATGGCATATATCTGTCTGGAGGCAGCTCTGCAGTCTGTGGATCTGCACTGGCTCTGGACAGGCATAAAGATTTTGTGTGCCCGCACCTGTCCCCATGGATGTGTCCCAATACACATCCCAATTTCCTACCCCACTTGTAAACCAGTGGTAAAAGTTCCGCAGCTGATTTAAAGCTTTGCTTTGTAGCAGATCTGCAAAGCAACAACTGTAAAAAGACCACATCCTTACATGCATTGAGCCAGTTATTGTAATATATATAATAAAGACTTGGACCTTTGGATTGACAAAAAAATTGATTTTTAGTATTCAAGGAACTGATTGGTTTGCTTGTGGACTTTTTTTTTTTTTTCCACATGAAGCACACATTCTTATATATAAAATATATACACATGTACATAGATAACACTTCTTTAAAGCAAAGGATACAAATGCACCAAATATAAAAAGAGGATTGAAGATATGATTTTGAAATGTGAATAGTGCGAGTCCCATGTAACAGAAGATGACATTTTCAGCCAAAAAATTCATGAACTCGAACAACTTAAACAAGAGAGAAAGAACATAATTATGACTCATGTCTGTAACCAACTACTGTTTATCATAAAGTTCCATTGGAATACAGAACTGTTTAGATGCAAGGAACAGAAATTGCACCTCTTTCAAGGGTGGATTTTAAACCCATCTAATTTACTATATAGTATATGTGGTGTCTTTTAGCTTTAAAAATCATAGTTGCTTGCGTGTTTTTCTCTGATTTGTGTATGAAAGCTTGACACAGACAACTGATAAAATACACAAACAGCAAGTAAGTTATACGAGCTTCAGTGCAAACTGCAAGGAAGCTGAGGGAATTTAACTTCACTCATGTTTACCCAGGTGAACCTGGGAAATGGCTGAGATCCTGATGACACAAGCTATGCACAATACAGCACTGGGCATGGGCACAGTAATGCCGAGAGAGAATAAAAAAATAATTCCTAAATGGACTATTAAGAACCTGTGCCTTTAAAATAGAATAAAACCTTTTTTTATTACCATGGATATTATCCTGTAGATGAAAACTTTTATTGCACTGTATGGACATCAATATCAATTACTCATTTCAAACTAAACTACTTAAGTTATCATTTAAACATATTATAAAATAAGCATAAAATACATGATTATGGTAGGATTTCTTCTGTGAAAAAAACAAGCAAAGCCAAAATATTCATTTGCCTTGAGGGGATGTTCTTGGTTGCATTTGTAGCTGATTATATAAAAACTAATAAAATAAATTTTCATATTTATCCACATCTGGAAAAAATCAATCATTGCTGCCAAATAACTACAGAGGAGAGAAAAAGAGGTCTTTTCACTTCTGAAGTAACTTTTGGGCTCAGGAGTCTATGCTAACAAATCCTGATGCACGATTAGGGCTGAAGTTTGTCGATCTGTCTACAACCAGTCATACATCACTATCTGGAATGTTACTATGGAGATATTCTATTCATCCTCAACAGGCTTATGTATTTTTTGTAATATGTTTGTGTTTCTAAAAATAAACATCCAATAACAGTCACAATGATCTTACAAAGGAAAAATGAGAGCTGTCATAATCATTATTTAAAACAAATTTCAGAGGCAAAAATGGCATAAAACCCAGTAGTATATGGGAAGATATTTTGGACCCTATGGCAGCACCATCAATTATCCCAAGCATAGATTCCATAGCCCCCATTTTGTGCTGCAGTGCTGAATTACATGAAAACAAACACAAGAAATATTTGTAAGTTAGTAGACTTAAATTATTTAAATTAAATTTAAATGAGAGAAAGCAGTTGTCAAAAAAGCTCAACATGTGATGTCTTGTGACACATAGGAATTATTATGATAAATCTTTGCATTTCCATTTTGGGAGTAAACATGATCCCGCTTTGTGGGAATGTCATCTGACGCATTTTTCTAATGCTTTAACAATGTATTGGGAGTGTCATGACAGGATTTATATATATAAAAATATGTGTATATATAAAAATCCTTTGAGGGAAGAGTACTGCTATGAGGAGCCACAACTGCATACTTTAGTTGTTGGGATAAGATAAAGGTGCTCCAGAGGTTTTAAAGCTGAATGATATTTCACTCTTCATTTACAAAATCTCATTCAAATTTTAAAGAAACGTAAAGTAGATCTACTATTGATGCATTTTAGAAACACAGTTTCTGAAACTAAAATGTCTTTCTTGTATTTTTCCAAACTTTTTGTTGACATGCATTTTTTGAAGGAAAATAGATTTTGCTGTATCACTGCTTTTGCTATATACTCTTTCTCAATAGTCTTCAACAGTAAATTCAAGCTTTTACTCTTGCCTGAAGTGCTTTCATGCCATTACTGCTTTTAAACTTTTCACTCCTTGTCTCCTAGCAATCTGGTCAAGATGCAGTCTTTATTTTTGGTTTGGGTTTTTTTTGTTGTTGTTGTTGGGTTTTTTTTGTTTTTTGTTTTTTGTTTTTTGTTTTTTTTTTTTTTTGGTAAATTCAGCTTAGTACATCTTTTACATTGCCCTATACCTTTACTTCCTTTTCTGGCTACATGCATCCTGTTTCTTCCTACTCCAACGCAGCTTCAGAACCTCCAGAACCATTTCAATGAGTGATTCTTAAAAAGAAAAATCCCTACTTCTTCACTACGTGTTTCCAATCAACATGGACCATATATACTTCATTTTCTCACTGGGCCGTTTCCTGTGCCACCAGCACAGGCCCATTAGTTTTCTTAGGCTATATTTACAGTGTATGTAATGCTTTTTAGCAACATTAACTACGTCAGATACTTGTAACACTGTAATCTATTGCAGTTCTTGAATCATATTGCTGGACATCAGTTGGTTTGTTTGCAAGAGCAAATACAGTCCAAATCCTATTTTTTTCTCTGAATTTTGGTGCTGAACTGTTCTGGTTTCTATTTCCTCTCTTATCTCTAGTTTCTTAGTATTTTGATCTTTCACTATCAGAGCACTGCCTACTTGCTAGAAGTTTAAATCTGGACTAGTTTCCTTCCTTTGTGTAGCAAAAATCCAGGTGCTATTTCAATAGCTAATTTAGAGCAGGTTCCTTCCTATTCCAGGCACAGCCATGATATGGTCTTATGAAAGATTTAGCTCCTTCGAATGGTAAAACTAGCTCGTTAGCTTCATTCAGAGTCTTCTGTATTCCCCATACAGTTTGGTCTCTCTTTTTAAAAGTATATCACTCATATGACATTTATTCATGGAGTGCAGTCCATTCAAATTTCTCACACTGGGTTAACAAAAAAAAATATTAAAAAATATCAACTGCTTCAGAACTAGTTATTGTCACAAAAGAAGTGATATCTGAATGCCTTTTCCTGGAACTGATGCTTGTGGATATAATGTAAAACCTATCCACTGTCCTCCAGACTTCCCTTTTTTCCCCTGTATTCAGCATAGTGTTTTATTTAGTGTTTCTTCAGCTTCTGTGTTTTGTTCAATAGTAATACAGAGCCCAAGGAGATACTCCATTAAGCACTTAACTGTCAGTGCTGTGCAGCGTAAATCCCATCAGAACAAAACAATTTATTCTAAAGAGATCTTCTGAAAACCATGTTAAGAAACAGCTTCCGTAGAAACATTTTCCCAAATTGTCATGTCTTTTGCACAAATGTTTCTGTCACTATTTTAAAGATGAGATGTCAAGACCTTTTGATGAGAAGCAGAAGAATAGGAGAAATACATTTTCATCTGGAATTTGTAATTTCCTGGGACACCCAAGGAGTACCAATAAGAGTTGCACCATACACATTAGCCTCTGAAAAACATCCTGTTTTGTCTGAGTGGCCGTAAACCAGGTCTGTGCTATGGGCTATGGTCTGCTTAAATGCCACTCAAAATTTTCCCTTATTTTGAATATATGTACTTGCAAGTAGGATTACTTGCATAAAGAAAAAAAGTAAAAAAAGTTAGGATTAGAATCCTGGATATCGAGTTGTTGGAAATATTTTGGCTACAACCATAAATTCCCTTCCCTTGCCTCCCACATGGACAACTAACCTCTTTCTAGTCTAAATGAAATTGGCATTAAAGTGCTCACATGCTGCCATTAGTTTCCCCAAGGCTACCAGAAAATTATACTAGAAACCATTTTAATATACACAGAGTAATAAGATATTTTTTCCATATAAAACTAAAACCCCTCATTTGTAATGTGCCATTTCTACCTCTCCACGAAGTCTATAAATCTGCTTATAGCTTTAAAGTAAGAGTTGTAATAAATCACTAGTGTCAACATATTGCAGAGTGGAGTATTAATTACAAAACACTGGCTCAGAATGAATCAGGGCACTTGGTTTAGGTTTGCAGCTCAGTGAGTTACTGAAACTGGTATTTGCCTTGCTTTGGTTGTTTTCTCTGTAAAAAGATTTATATTAAAAATATCTATTAAAATTGACATAATATGTATGTGTTTAAAAACAAATCATTCGTCAAATATGCTTAGGTGTTCTGTTATTCTCAGCCATTGTAAGTACTAAGAGGGATGTGCAAAAAATCAGTTTTAATTTGGGACATTCTTCTGGAAAGTGCCACTTGCAGTTCAGTTCTCACTAGCAGAGGAAGGAATCAATCCAGGTTATCTACACCTTAAGCCTTGCTGTAACTGCTAAGTTTATCTTCTACCAATGTTTTATTTTAACTCAAGTGAAAAATTTTGTATGACATAAAACCTGTATTAATTTTATCTTTTGAGTGAGATAAAGAAAAGTCTTCCTTTTTCTTCTCCTCTCTTCCCTTCGCCCCCACAGTTAATTTCAAGCCAATTAGGGGAACAAACTATGCCAAAATGGGGTTTGCAACTTGATCCATTTTATAGAACTACTTAAATTTTCACTGGGTGTTACAGAGATTATCTAGGTAAGTAATTAGTGCACCTGGAAGATGGGACACGCTAAGTTCCAATCTCAGCTTTAATAAAAATAGAATTCTTTAAAGGAGCATCAAAAGGAGAAAATGAACATATTCTATGCCACAGTCCCCTTGTGGTTGGGGAGATGGAAAATGTAAGATTTCTCAAATCCTAATATTTTAAACAGCATTTTTCACTTCAAGGGAATAAAGTTAGTATGAGAGTACTGGGTAAGAGCAGAATTACAAACAGCATTCTTTCATCTCAAGGGAATAATGTTAGTATGAGGGTATTGGGTGAACGCTGAATTACATCCATAACTCATTTCCAGTAAAATTCAGTGAATTTTACTCACTGATGGCAATATTACGTTCTTTCACTTGATTTAATACCT